AGGTGATGCAAACAACCGTTTGGTGAACAAAACTATACTCTGTTGCAACATGTTTGCAAAAGAATTCAACATTTATTATTCGATTATTATTTGGTATCTTATTAACTTATGTTATTGATCATAGATTTACTATTTTAGACCGATCCTATTTTTTCTCCGAAATGTTAACTTTAACAAAAAGAAGCTATTTAACTCAAACATGGTATATGTGATATAAACTGAACCAAAGGGGTGAGATTTAATATGTGGGGTATATAGGTTGCTGTTGTACGAAAGGAGCGGAAATCAGTATATTAGGGTTATAAGGTTTAAACAAAGGTCTAGACCAATTTCATTTATATGCAGCGATAAACCACATTATTTTTAAGAAAAACTGTCCATTTAATTTCATTAAATTATAAAATTAACGAAATAAATTTTACCATAAGTAGTACATGTATGCTGGGGAAATTCGTGGATTGATTTCACACATTTTCGGCATTAAACTGTTGTATATCTAATATTTTACGTTTATATAAAGCCAAACGGAAGTTTGAATTTTTTACATAAAGTATGTTGGATCTAGGGTCAATATATACCCGATAATGGGTACTAGGGCGGAACCAAGAATTTTATACTCTTGTAATTCGCAAGAATCAAAGGCCAGGAAATTCCTCAGGTGTGGCAAAGTTGAGAAAGAATTAAACATCCATTATTAAATGAAATCGTGAATCAATTGCAATCAAATTTGGTATCTTCTTGACTTATATTAAAGGCCATAAACTTAGTCTCAGTTTTATCGCTATATTTTAGTTTGCGTCAGCGAAAATTATATTAAAAAAAAAAACAAAAAACATCTTGAAGTAAGATATACATAAGTACGAATGTGATATTAACACGATCAAAGTGGCTAAATTTTATATTATAAGCTTGTGTGGAAAACGTCAACCAGAGAATCGGAATTCATTATATGAAGGTGTGAGGTTTAGATCAAGGTATATACTATTATCATTCTAATTCAGCGTGAAACCACATAATTTTTAAGAAAAATTCTCCACTTAATTACATTAAAATATCACATTTTGATCAACCGGAACGGTTTAAAGTCAAGAGGAAAGACGGAAATCATATATATATTGGGGATAGAGAAATATATTAATTTTTACATTGCTCAGCTATACTCGAGCATAGAGAACATATTTTGAAGCAATTTTATATATAAAAAATGTATTGATTCGATTGAACCCATTTTTTGACACAAACATACTATATAAGAGTTTTATTTATTTATTTTATTATATGAATTTCAATTAAATGTCTTACACATTGACCGATGTTTTCGGTAAAAGGGCAAACAAATTCAGTACCAAGGGACTTGAATAGTTTTGGTTCGATTTAGACAATTTTTGGTCACAAGGTAACATACTTCAAACGCATTATTCACGCAAAGGTTTACTCCGATACAATCCGATTTCACTCATTTTTGCACTATAGCATAGAAATATGAGAACAATATTATGTTCCGAATTTGGTTGAAATCGGTTAAGCATATCCTAAGATATGGGTTTTCACCTAAATGTAGACGGTGCCACGTCCATTGTCTAATTTTGAACGCGGATCCTATAGAGTCAGCTCATACGATCCCTGTGTTAAAATTTAATGACTCTGGCGTATTTAGTGCTTGATTTATCGCGCTTTTAGTAGTTTTTAACAGTACCGCTATATATGGAGTGGGCGGGGTATCACCCGATTTCACCTTTTTTCACACCGTAGATAGAGGTGGTCAAAACATTTGTTCTCAGTGAATTTTGTTATTATAGCTTTAGTGGCTTAGGAGAAATGCACATTAAACCTATTAGGGGCAGAACCACGCCCACAAAAAATTTAAACCGCAGATGCCCCTCCGTAATGCGATCCTGTGTGTCAAATACTAGCCTTGTATCTTATTGTGGAGTTTAGTTATGGCAATTTATTTGTTTTTGATTAATGGCGTTTTGTGGGCTTGGCAGTGATCCGATTACGCCTATCTGCAATACCAACCGTCTTACGGTATCAGCAAATATGTGTACCAAGTTTCATAAAGATATCTAAATTTTTACTCAAGTTACAGCTTGCACAGACAGACGGACAGACAGACAGTCACCCGGATTTCAACTCGTCTCTTCATCCTGATCATTTATATATACATAACCCTATATTTTTGTATACACTGTAAATTATGTGTTTTCTTTGATGGGCAATGGTTTTCACATTTTTTATTTAATGGTTTTCACCTCTTATTACAGGCGACTAATTGGGAGGATTCTTTCAGTCTGATAGCTGACTTCGCTGCCACTTGCTTACAGAACAAGTCTGTTAGCAGTAAATTTAAAATGACGTTTAGTGCCTGACTTAGCGTTTTTATTTTTAATTATTGGCCACCATACCAATGAACCGTATGTCATCGGTCTGACAACTACTGTGTTGACGACCATTTAGGACCCAAAATCCTTTAGCAGGTTCAAAATGCTGTAGCTGCTTTCTTCACCCTATCGTCTAAGTATGGTTTCCATCTTCAAAGCTTCCTACCTAAAATTAGCCCAAATTAGCTTGCCTTATCGCCAATAGTTAACCTGGTACCTTATTATAATGGTTCCATTTTTCTAGCATTCAAGTTTAGATTTATATCATTTGCATAAGGTTAACGAGAGTGTTCGAGAATTTAACTCTAACCGAAACCGCCTCATCGTCATTATTTTTTAGATCTAGATCTAGCAGCAATTTATTCATTGTTAGGATCCAATGAAATGAGGATAACATGCCTCCTTGAGTTGTACCTCTTTGGACAGATTGGCACAACGTTTAAGCTCCCAGAGTTGAAATTATTGAACTCCTCAGGGGCATTTGTTCAATTAATTTTCTAATAGGTTCAGATATGTCCAAGTATGGTCCTAGGTCCTCCAGAATTTTTTCAATCTCTACCACCACTGAACTTAGTGCTATTTCTGTTGATTTTCCTTTAGAATACGCATGCTGAGAAACAGCCAGATTTTCTGGGATTAGTTAGTTTCTTATGTATATTTCTATAAGTATTTTCCACACTTTTAGGAGGAATAAGGAGAGACTAATTGGTCTAAGATTTTTTATGTGAGCTTTTGGCCGCCTTAGGTCTGTACGATGCGGTCGTACATTATGACTTTTCTCCATAACGAAGTAAGATAGTTTAGTTGCAGCGCCACTTAAGAATGGCGACTATTCAATATATTATGTAGTTCTGCGACTGCTGTAATTGAGCCGGAAATAAACAATCTGGTACCGGCGATTTGAAGGGCTTTAGGAATCTTATCGCCCAATATACATTGCTTTCTTACACTATATCTATAGAAGTGGAATCTATCCCGTCTTGTGTATGCTCCACTGTATGGCTTTCAGAGCTACCTGGGTAAATGGGTATCTACCAGTAGCCCTAAAGATTCTTCACTGGATATCGTCCAGTTATGGTCGGGCTTCTGAAGAGACGCTTCCGCCATATTCTCGATATCATTGCAAAAAGATTTCAAAGAATTTCTTTTCCTTTCCTAATCTCTTTTCTGTACGACCTTAAGAGGTTGTAATAACTATCCAAATCTTCCTCACCTTGGGATAGTGTTTCTAAACTAAACTGCCTCCTGCAGTCCTTCTGTAATTTTTTAATTTCGGGAGAGACCCCCATGGAGGGCCTTATTCTGCCCTAAAACGTGTTATTGGGCAAGCCACCTCAAATGCTTGCCGACAAGATTCCGTGAATCGTTTAACAAGGATGTCGAGGTCCCCTTGCTCTTAGGTTGAAATGGTAGAATCATAAGTATATGTTTTTTTCAGCTCTTGTATATTTACCTGCCAGTTTGTTTTCGTATGATTCATGAAATTGTTGACTCTGTCTGACCTTTTTTTAATTATGTGTATCGGTGCCCCGAAAAGGTGTGTTCTTCAAGAACCTTCCACTGGGTCACCCTATTTAACAGTTCTTAAGACACAAGTGTGTTATCTAATACTTTATAGATTTCTTGTGATAAACGTTGGCAATTAAAGAGACACTCACCTCATTGACGACTGTACTGCCCCAGATTGTGTGGTTGAGTCATATCCAAGTATAATCATGGAATTTTACTTGTAGCCTAACACCGACTGGTAACAACTTGCGTCCGTCTCCTAGCTTACTGCTGCTGTGTCATGGTTGCTATAACGGTGTAACATAAAAGTTAAGGCTTTTCTTTGCCATTATACATGCCCTGACCTTACCTTCGCAACTAGCCATATATAGCTTGTAGTTAGGAGTCCTCGGTCCGTAAATACGCCCACATCTATTAACCCATGGCTCCTGAATGAGGAAAAACTCAATATGTTCCATTACCACGCGGTTACTTAAGGCTTCTGAGGTTAAGGTGGAGATTAATTTGTAGAAAACGCATTAACAATTGTTTTTTCTGTGTCTTCCTGAGAGTGACTCAATATATCTCTCTCAGTATAAAGGTTAGAGAGTCTGTTTGCAAGCTCAAACCCCGAAGACCACTAACCCTGGTCTTAACTTTCAATATCACACGAGGACTCCATAGAATCTTCCTCGACTTCGCACATCTCGTTTTCCGATTGTAAGTCGTGGTTCTCACCTAGCACCTCCAGCGACACGTTTGTTAGTGCAGCTTGCACTTATTTCCATTGGGCTCTTTCGATTTTTCCTTCAGGGTCTCTCTCATTCAGCACACCAATGATAATGCTGTTCCGGGCCACATCAGCAAACGGGCGTTACACCTTTTGTCTTGGGGCCTTTGGCTAATGGATTGACCTCTTTAGATGACCTCTGTCGCTTAAAATTTGACAGGACGGCTCTCCCCCGCTACGCAAGTAAGGCTATCTTATTACGGAGGGCGCCAGGTATACGTAAGCTCCGTTCGAGACTGGGCTATTTAACGGCCCCCAGCCAGGTTGATTCTCGACCTCGTTGTATGACACCTTGATCCAGTACTTTTTGTACCCCTAAGCATAGTGAGACTCGCTATCTGTATGTTATGCTATTGAGGATCAACGATCAACCGCGTTAAATTGCCCTTTATTTTCGTACGAAACTATTGTCACTTTCATACCTGCTGTTAACATTATTGTGACGATATTTCTTACAGTTTTAGTATTGTCACTTTTATACCTGCTGTTACTATTATTGTGACGATAATTTTTACAGTTTTAGTATAGAAAATATTACTTATCAAATAATTCCATTTGTTTAGACTTGAAACATTTTAATGTATGCAACAATTATAGTTAATTATTAAGAGAACTTTTAACTTAATATTTTTTAAAATAATGGAAAATGATAATGGTTTTATGTACACAAATATGATTATACGAGTATGCTATGCTTTTTTTTTATTGCACTAATGGCTTATTTTGCAGCCTATTGAGAAGGACGACATCGTCCCGCTGAAATGCCGGAAAAATCAATTTTTTTGTTCTCAATTATTGGGATCCGATCATCATATAAAGTAGGCGCTTGAAGTATTATACCAGCAGTCCCTGCTAAAACGGCTAGTGTAAAAATCCATAAAAACAATCGATCTAATACCATAGCCACATACTTCCAGTCTTCTTTGACCTAAAACAAAAAACTTTATTTAGTTGTAATACTTAGAGCTCATTCCCACCTTGGTAGAGTCTTCTAGCAGCTTTGTATGTTCTGCTATAAATCGCACACAAAAACAGCTACGATGGACTTTCATTTGAGAGTTTGTATTGAGAAGACACTCATTTCTTAATGTTTGACCTTTAGCCTCAGTAGGACTTTCCATATAAAGAGTTGCGGACACTAAGTTTTCGGTAACTTGTTGCGAAAGAGGAGGAATACATCCATGAATTTGGCAGTTTCCACTAAATGCTCCGGTTCCACTTTACATAAAAAGATATAAAATATATATAAGTATAAATAAGATGCTTCATTCCTGTAAGTTAAAATTTTTCAAGAGATTAAAAGCTCGATCTGGAACTTATTTTTTCCAGTTCTAGGTGTCCAGGTAAAACTTGTGTAATCTTTAAGTAAATGGGAAAGTTTTGAAGTCCTACATTGAGCAAAACATTACTGCTTAATTGTAAATCAGTGTAAGGACGAAAATCTGAGAAAAAGGGCTTAGTTTACCGATAACAAAACGACAATTACTCTAGCAATAAATAAGAATTTTAATAATAACAAGAAAGGAAGGGGATTCGTAATAAAAATGTTGCTAAAGAATTTAACATTCATTATTCGACGAAAGATTACAGTCATGTCTGATATCTAATTAACTTAAATTATAGGTCGCATACTCACTTAAACTCATTAATATATTTTTATTTTCGAGATATAGGAATTAAAATTATCCAAAGAGTGTAATTTTAAGATATTGGGTAAATGAAAAAAATCAATCAGTGCAACGGAAAACTTTATAATGGGAATAAGTGGCTTTGACCACGGTTTTTGGTTTAATTAACCGATACTCGTTTATTTGAACAATTCGTTCTATTACAGGAATCCCGCTTAACTATTTATCTATAATACAATAAATAAAAATTGTTGTGCACTTTAAGTATGGTATTTACTTATTTTTAATTTTTAACGTAAAAAAATTATGAACAAAAACGAGACATTGCACTTACATATATAATTAGAGATCATGTTTATAAAAAAAAAATTTAAAGAACAAACACAATTCATATTATTGTCTATATGTTTGCCACATTTGCTATACAATTTTTTTTATACATTGTTCAATCTGCGATACATGCGATTCCATATTCCCTAATTCCCATAAAAACTTGTTTTCTGAATAAAAATATCTATGAAGTTCTTGTATATATTTTATAACTTCGAGAACAGCACTCGTATTGGCAGCTGCGGAATCGTTAATGCACAATTTTACCCATTTTCTGCCACCCATTTATACCCACTACAAGTATATACGTTGACTTAATTTTGCTAAGATATTTTACAAATTGACCGATATATACGATATAAAGGGAAACGGAAGTTTAAAGTCCTTATAATGGAAACTTGGAGATAGAGGTAGCATTGACCCGATTTTATTAATTTTAGGCTGACCGTATGCCCCTCACTGGGGGCTTGAAAAATTATGGGCCGATTTTGACAATACACTATTTGTTTAATCCCGATATATTAATTGGTGATTGATTTGTATACTGTAAGGTAAAACAACATATGGAGTTTAAATATGGGAAATATTCGTGGTTGCGGTTCTATTTCGCCAATTTTCATACCGTAATATAGGAATATCAGGATAACATGACCTATCGAATTCGGTTGAAATATCTTGATATAATATATGGGATTTTACCTAAAGTTGGTCTACAAAAATGCTCAGCAGCCCATAACAAATATTCAAAACCTTTTATTAAAGTTCTTTGAAAACAATTATAAAACTAATTTGCCACTTGACATCAAGAAAACTTTTATTGTTAAGACTCTAATACAATACTATGAAAAGTGCACATCGAAGTATCTTACTAAATAACTTCCTGATAATTTGAAGATTCTAACATGTAATAAAAAATGTCTTAACAAAAATCTAAAATCCTGGATAAATAACTTATCGATATAGTGAATTTTAGCTATCTATTAGAGTAAAAACACGTCAAGTGGACCCCCTATTTTCCACTTGATCATCGAATTTGAATGTGAGTATTTTTTCATAAAGTAGTCATCATAAGCAAGTAATCCCCTGCTCAGTTTTTTTAAATTTTAATTTTAACAACAATTTTTTTTTAATTGAAAATTTTTTCTACTTTTAGTTAAAAAATTAATAACTAGAAAACTATTGGTGATTTTTTCTGTACTTCCCAAACATTTCTATTATACAGTATTATACAGTTTAACTCATCTGATTATTTCACTTTCAGTATACAATCATTGAATATGCATTTAAAGTATGCCATTTCGTCCTAAAATTGTCAAAAGCGCACCAAAACTGATTAAGCCCCAGAAACCGAATGTTCCGACTTCGTGCCTGGGTCTGACATTTTACCATATATACACATACATTGGTGATGTGCACTCACGTAAAAACTCAAATCTTGTGGTATTGCCAAACAAAAGCTTAAATCAGGTCAATACTTAAATACAGTCATTTAGTTTAGTGCCGAAAATTGTGATGTGTACGAATTATTCTCCAATATACTACATACAACGTTTTCGTTATTCTAACAAACCTTATGCCAAATATGTCGGTCAGTGTGTGATGAATATTTTTAAATTGATATGTTCTCAAATATACCAGAGTATTGTCAAAATTAATGCATTCAGCCATTTCAGCCATAGGAATACTCCTGTAGGTACCTGTTGCTTGTATCACCTAAAATATTCAAGATAGATATAGGGTTATCATATATAAATAAATGATCAGGATGACGAGACGAGTTGAAATCGAGGTGACTGTCTGTCCGTCCGTCTGTGCAAGCCGTAACTCGAGTAAATATTGAGATATCATGAAATTTGCAACTATGGCACCTATGGGATACAAATTTTGAAACCATTTGGACCACCTAAACGGTTTAAAGACAGATGGGAAGTGGAAATCATTATATAGGGTATATTGGGGCAGTAAGATCTGAGCTGATTTCACTAACTTTTGACATTGCTCAGGTATACGAGTATTCAAGAACATATTTTCGCAATTTTATAAATGTATGACCGACATATTCAGTATAGGGTTTGTTAGAATAACAATTATTATATATAGTACATGGAAGTTTCAGGAAGTCAATATTTTCGGCATTAAGCTATAATAAGCCCAATATTATACATTCAGTTAATTTGTTAAGATATCTTACATATGTCCGATACCGGATGTTTGAAAATCTGATATTAAATATATGAGAGATGAGTACTGAACCGCTTTTATCTATTTCCATTACCACAAGTTATTAACGAAAAATGATATGTGAGTTTCATAAGGACCTCACATACCATCCCAATATTAGAGGATAAGTCAACCAGATA